CGTTAAGTGCAGCAGCTTTTTTTGGTGTGATGGTGAAAATGTTCAGATGCTTTTCTACTTCGTCAAGACGGTGCATCGAAAAAGTGAGATTGTTGTGAATAGTTGCGAGAGTTGCGGTAATAGCATCCAATTGATTTAAGATTTTTTGTGTATCCGTTAATTCATGTGTAGGTGTCTTAGGTGATCTGTAGGAGACATCAGTTTCGTCCATTTGATCAGACCATGATTTTCTCGCATAAATCGAATCATCAAGCGAAGATTTATCCTTTAGTGGTTTGGGTTCATTGGATTTAGGTTGAGGCATTTTGACTGGAGGTTTGGTGTCCTTGGTTCTATTAGCAAAGGAGCGTGGATTTTTAGGATCAAACATAGTTTCCTGGTCATGTACAAAAGAGACTTTAGGGCGAGATGCTGGAGCGGAGTAGGTTTTAAACTGCGCAGGTTTATATCGTTGGTACAGATTTTGTGTTTGTCTGTCTTTAGGAGTAGATCTCTTCCGTCTACAATTTCGTGAGTCATGTCCAGGGATGGGACAATGTGCGCACAAGTTAGTATCTGGTGCAGTCCATATGAGTTTCTTGTTATCGAACTCAATTGGGTCTCCATTTTTAGCTGCTATGAGGTCTCGTTCATTACTAAAATGCATGAATGCATATTGAAGATTTCTATAATTTGATCTAGCTTTAGGGATCACCCACGTGATTGCATTGACTGCTTTTCCAATCGGTTCTAGTTCTTTACCAGTGGTGTCTTTGGGAAGATTTGTTAATTTTAAAGTGAATTAGGAGCGAGCTTTTACTTCATCATTTGTTAGGGAGCAGACGTGTACTCTAACCATATCTTTTAAAACAAAGAGACCGGCATTGGATTTGAAGAAAGATAGGTCTGTGTTGGCTGCATAAGAAATAGTCGCTTGTTGCCAGAGATTTTTCGTCATCATTGTACACTTGATGATCTTACCGAATCTGGCAAATGTAGATCTAATGATTTGTTCTGATGTTGAGATTGGGATTTCTGTAATCTTGATCGACAGGGTCAGATCAAATTTAAATGGGGCAAGTGTAACCAGGGGTATAAATGTGGCATTATTCATATTGGGAATTTTTACAGCCATTGCACGGTCAATATCATCTCGAGTTGTGAATCCTAAACAGACAATTTTTAACATTTTATTTGATGGATCGGGTTTAATAAAAGCACCAATGAACGATGGGAATGCTGCGTTGTTAAAGAGTTCGCAGGCTTTATTCGTCTTTTCTTTGAAAGATTTGCCAGGGAGAAAAGTTTCTGCAGCGCAGTAAAGGTAGAAGGTAGTCGCATCTCGGACTCTTTCGAAGGTGATGGTATTTTTGCCAGCGTTTTTGTCATTTAATAAGTTTTCTGAAGCATCGAACGCTTGGTCTTCGTCCATTTTATTGTTAACTTCAAGGGGTGACATTTCGTTATCATTTGGTTGTAAAATAGAAGAAGGACCGGTAGTAGTAGCTTCTGGTGTGTCCTTTGGTTCAGTAATCCATTTGGCTTTTTTATATTCGAAGGTCTTATTGCGGTGTGCAATTTCTGCGAGTTCGTTATCAACTTGTTGGTCGATACTCATTTCGCCAGCTGATAAAATGTTAGTTATGGTGACGATATTAGATGGTCCAGCTGGAGTTTCTGGTGTAAAGGCCGACCTGCCAGTCATAGTTTTTTTCTGGGGAGGTTCGTCTTTATTTTTTGTTGGAGAGTCAGGGCGCGTACGCAAGTTGCGACTATTATTTTGTGAAATTTTTTGGTTTTTTTCTTTCCCCATTTTTTTTGGTTTTTTGGAAGAGAGAGGAAAGAGTTTTTTTGATGTCTGACTGCATATTTTTTCAGGTGATCGATTTTACATGATCTATTTCGTCCTACGCTATGAATGCGAACTTGACTTTATTACTTGAAGTGCTGCAGGTAAGACAATATTCCAACCTATCTTAGAAATATAATTTCGCTAATTCAGGATTATAAAGGAGCTGATTCCCATTTTCGCAGTACCATAAGCCATGTAATCCATAATTCCCATATTTTCCATCGCAAATAAGACATGATGAGCTCCATAGCTAAGGTGATGTAAAATCATAATTATCAATCCCTCTGAAACTATTTCTGAATTTCAAGTATGGGAAGTGCTCTAAGACAGATTTGATAATTAATTCTGAATCAGGTCTGACTTCAAAAGTTATAGGCCCTTTTTCTTCACATTGCTCAAAAAAAGATAAACAAGATACTTTGTTCTCTGGCTTTGAATTTATGAGAAGACCAACTTCCGATGCATGCACTTCTGATAATTGCCATGGCTCATACCCAGTTTCTTTTTTATATCTTTTGTATAATTTGGAACAAATCTTATTCGTTAAAATGCTTGGTAACCCAGTTAATTTGGCATGCCAATCTAGGTATTCAGGAGTTAATATTTTATTGGATTCGCTCATGTTTCCTATTTTCTATGATCACAGATCAATTTAAATTCCTTTTTTCTCTTTAGTTCGAAAAAGATTAAAATTCTCAGATAGAAAGCTATCTAATATCTTTTATCATATTTCCAAAAAAATAGTTAGATCATCTCCCACAGGGGGAGAGGTAATGAGACTATGCAGTTATCTCAATTTTACGCTGTTCACATTTAATAAAGTAAGATCCAGATTTATATATACCTTCTATACTTTCCTCATCGTCATGATCTAAACTGCATAATGGGCATGATGTCTCGTCAGTAATGCCATAATAATCGAAATGTTCACTACTAAATTTTCTATATAAAGCAGGATATTGGTCCAATATTTTGTTGCGAAAATAGGAACAGTCATGGACTAGACTCTCGGGTTGAGGAATAGGTGACACCACCTCTACCTTGGTATCCAATTTTTTCGAGCTGGAGAAATCACCTGAAGAATTGGAGATATAAGTTAATGGAATAGGTGCCGTTGAAATGCTTACCTCAGCTGAAACCAAGATATCTGCTTGCATATCTGATGCATCAGTTTGACTGGAAGAATCATCATTAATAGAATTATCCTGATCATTGCTAAAATCCATACTGGGCTTATTTGAGAAATGATCCATAATCTTTTGGATTTCATCACTAGTAAACTTTGATATTTCATTCGCGCTATATGTCCTGATATATTGGATTTTATCTAATTCTATTGTTTTGAGAAGTTTATAGATCTTCTCAGCTCTTTGAATTTTTTTGCGTAAACCATCTCATGATATGACAGGGAGTAGCACCCCTGTATCTTGAGATCTTTTCTTACGAAAGATGTTAAGTTGCTTCGTGACCTCATCGTATATTAGGCCTCTTGCCTTCTTTTCGCCAATTTTATTTTTATCACACAAGGCTTCTACCTGGAATAGAAAATTTTTCCCATAGTGATACCAGCATAATATTTCTTCTTGATTTGCTTCTAATGTACACTCTTCTGCAATAAGCGCTTTATCACATAACTGAGCCAAATGCTGAGATACTTCTATTATACTGGTGGTTTGCTGGTGTAAACATTCTAAGTTAATGGTATCAGATTTTCAGAACCGCGCGGTCTCAGAAATTTTAGTCACATGATTTTCTTTGGACACGGATGAAGAGATTTCTTGAATCAATCCCTGCCCATTTTTTTCATTCTTTTTTTCCTTATTGCGTCTCTTTATTTCACTACTAACGATTTTCTTATGAGCCTTAAGCAAGAAACTATCCATATCTTTCTCTTCTAATGATGTGCCATTAAGGCGCTTCGCAGAGTTGGCAAGTACTGTTGCCACCAATTCTTGCTTATTATAGCAAACCTCTTCAGGAAAGGAATTATCTGTTTCCATATCTACCAATGGTTTCTCATAATACTCCGCAACTGAATTAAAGTTAGATGTACTATCATTAAAAGGATTATTATTATACGACTGCTCTTCTACTGGTAAGGAAGCCTGTTTCACTATTGCAAGTCTGATCTCAAGCTCCTTATTTTTTTGCATCATTTCCTCAACTTTAACATCATGTCTAGTATTCTCCTTCATAATCCGCTTTAAAAGTTTAGCTTTTTCAGCCTTAAGCTCGGCATTCTTAACCTCAAGTTCAATGATACGCTGTTTCAATACTTCAAGTTTGGATGTCATGATTGATAAACTTTATACAAGAAGTGAAATATTCAAAAGTTAGTTAGTATACATAAATATATATAGAGACTTGTGGCATTTTATCAAGAGAAATAGGCTATAAAGTTACCAGATTTCTGAAATCACGCGGTCTCAGAAAAATGCTAAAAAAAATTTTTTTATTAATGCATGCAAAAAATAAATACAAATGTTCAGGACGTAGCCCATGATACATGACGATTTTTTTTTCTATGCTAATACCCCTATTATTCTGTTTTTACCCGCTTTCTATCAACCAATGATGATTTTTACTGATCAAAAACCCACTTAATTTGCCCAAATAATTTCTCAATAGGTCTAACTAGGTCATCGCAGGATAATGATAGGTAGTTGATAGGTAGAGGTGTAGGCGTAGGCGAACACAAAAAAACTTCGACCAGATTCCCATCACCATTATCATTCCCATCTCCAATACCACTTTGAACTTTTGTTATTACCCAGTCAACACCTGAAATTGGATATCAAATAAAAGAATTAGTAATAATCGTATTGATTTTGATCAAGTAATAATTCAGGTAATATTTTTTCGAATTTGTTTTACTATCATACCCGTTGAGACAATGCAGTACATTGCATCTTCATACAAATCAGCATCATCATAAGTACGTTTTTTACGATTGCATTGCAGAGATGCATGTGCTTAGACACTGCTTTGGGCAACGTCTTGATTAATATCTTCTCATTTTGCTTCAGTTATAGAAATAATTACGTCTTCCATTTTGATCACCCAATCTATAGGCCCCTTTCCATGACTTCCAGAAACTTCATACTGGGGATAAACTTTTACAGTATCATTGAAGATGGACGCTATACTATATATAATCGCAGAAATAAATTCATAGTGGGTGGCCTCATTCATGCTAGTGATGGGTGAGGATGCCTTGTGCATTCTTAAAAAATCCTCATTCACACTGTTTTTAATCTCTTCTGGAGTTGCCGAACTTCCAATTTCAATACATGGTAATTGATCATAACTATTAACCTTCAAACCAAAAAGAACCTTCATCTTGGAGAAAGTATACAAAGAGAAAGGTTGTTGCGCTATAAAAACAGCCATGCATAAATTAACTAATCAGACATTTGGTAAAATCAGCACGTGAATATCCTAAATAACTTGATAATACTTACACGTATCCACAACTATTTTCAGATCCACCTTAGGGTCAACAGTCCAGATAATGCTCAATAAATCCTCATCAGCAGAAAACTGAATAACTTTACACTCTGTCACAATCTCAACTGTATCACTTGCACTCTGAGAACTCGAACTTGCCAGGTCTAATTTTTTACGCATTTTACCTATTGAAATCTTTCTCTTCAAGCTGGCTCCACCTACTACACGACCTATTACGATATGCTCGTTTTCTATTCCATCCGGAAATGTGAAATATTCACAAAGCTTCTTCTTAAAACTTTCCAATGACACTATTTCTCAGCTCACTGTCTATTGAAAATTCGCACTTTTATGACCATACGTTGCAGTACAATGTACCTCTTTCGTCTCAACAGAACGCTGTACGATTATATGTATGTGCTCATCGGCTGGCTAAGAGGTAAAATATTTGCTAATCTTCAAAAGCAGTTTCAACTCTACACCTTCAAGTTCCTCCTTAATATTAACGTTTATTTTTTGTATTGACGAGCTTAAGTTTTTCATTTTCTTTTTCGAAGGAAATGTCGACCTTCTATAGCTTGAGATCTTTTACCTTAACATTATCGTCAATTTTTTCCTTGATAGCGTCTTTAAACAATGCCGCGGTCTTTATTTGAGTGGTGTCAATAACAACTTGAAAAGCATTTTCATAAGGGCTTTCACCCATGACCAAATAACTGAGAGTTATAGTTGACATGGCGCTTTTATAGAGATATTTGGCTCAGATAAAAAATAGTGTTACGTTCTGGAGTGAGATAAAAATTTATTTCTGTTTGGGAATACTGGCGTTAATATAGGTTTTATATTGTACAGGCATTGCATCATTACACGTGACCTGTTTCTCATATACAGTACATTTGATAAAATAATATACTTTATTTATGAAATAAATTATTGCTAGAAGTCGGCCTACATTACATAAAAAATACGAATAGAGGTCCAACCAGGATCGCTTTACATGATATAAATGAAATATTAATCATCTGTAGAAGGATATACAATAACATTGACCCCCTTTTCGCCTTGATATTTAGAAGAGGGTTGACCATTAAAATAACTTAAAATGGTATTTTCATGCTTCATCAATTCTGTACCACTCAATATAGCTCCTTTATCATTTTTTAAGCTGAGAATTACGACACTATCAGCTTCAGACTTATTCATATATAAAATTAGCTTGCTCAAATCAGTATTCTGAAATCGGTCTAGACGATAGTTTCTGATTATATTCACAAGAGTAGAAACTCTGTTATTACTACCGTTAAATACTGTTACATCAAAAATAGCTTTCTTATCAGAAATAAAACAATTGAGAGTAATATCCTTTCCTTCGAGAAACTTGTCAAGCTTGTCAGACTTATTGGGAATAGACTTATCAGACATCTTGCTTTCCTAAATATAAGACCCATAGTGAGAAAACTCGCTCCCATACATACATAACTTCTAGTATATACATATCTTATTTTGCGTTATTTTACGAGAAAGTTTTTTTGCGAAAAGTTGGCTGAACTTCTATATATTCCTACATGCTTTATATCTTGCTGGAAAAAAGTTAAGGAGATATGAGACGTAATTAGTATTGTCGTCTGATGCCAAGAGTCCTTTGAAAGCATATGCAAATGGAATCTTCATACCTTTTCACATGGGGATCTACCGGAGAGACATATAGTTGGTCTTACGTCTAGCGATCTCGAAATTACAAAGTCCTCAGCCCTTCATAGCATATGCTTTTGCTATCAGTATTTACTTTTACGGTAGGTCCTATGTTGAAACTAGACCTTCTTTCACATTTTCTCACATTTGTTTGGGAAAAAAATAGAGGGACTTGGTCAACATATATATTTTCCTTTCGTTATAT